GACAATATTAAACGATATTAATGGATGGACCGTATCATGCGGACTGAATTTAAATGCTAGCAAGACAGAACTAGTATTATTCACTAAGAAACACAATACTCCAGAATTCACACCGCCATCTTTAAATGGCACCAGGCTAACGATAGGAGATAAAGCAAGCTACCTGGGACTAATTTTAAACAGGAAGCGTTCTTGGAAACAAATTTTGGAAGCGGGGGTAAAGAAAGCAGCTACAGCGCTTTACACGTATAAAAGAATGGTGGGGCCCAGATGGGGACTGACGCCTCGGGTAGCTTACTGGCTCTACACAGCAATTGTAAGGCCGATCATGACTTACGATATATTAGGATGGTGGCCAATTACTGAAAAGAAATATGTAATTAGAAGCACGGAAAGTATACAAAGAGCAGCCAGTATTTGCATCAGTGGAGCTCTTAGAACAACGTCAAGTCACTTACTAAACGTTATTTTGCATTAACTGCCAACAGACTTGTTCTGTAAGCAAGTGGCAGCGAAGTCAGCTCTCAGACTGAGGGAATCCTCCTAATTAGTCGCTGGTAACAAGGGGAATTCTATGATAGTTAGGAAGTTCCCGTTTCTTCCCATAACCACGGATTTTCGCAATCCTACAGAGCTCAATCTAAATCCGGTCCCCAAGATTTCCTTCCCCTTCAGAGAGGAGTGGGAAAGGGGCGTAGTGGACAAGGAAGCAGGGATAAGCTTCTATACGGATGGTTCCAAACTGGATAACTAAGTAGGCGGCGGTGTCTTCTCGGGTATACTAGATACCAAAATCGCGTTATGGTTACCAGACCACTGTATTGTCTTCAAAGCGGAGGTCACCGCAATTAAAGAAAGCCTTCTTGTACTGACAAGGAGTGTGATCACCACAAGAAATATATTTATATATACAGACAGCCAGGCGGCTTTGAAATCTCTGATGTCTCATAGGGTTGAACTAGCCAGAACAGGCACCACCCTACAAGTAGATCCTGGTAAAGAGGACATATATATGCCTCTGGCTACTTGTAGATACTTAATCGACAAAAATGTCATTAACATAGCCTAGTGTCAGTGCAATCAGTCCCTGACTTGCTCAACTAGCAGACAAATGTGGCATGAATGCAAATGAGCCGCGTATGCCGACTTTTAAAATTCAAGCGGAATGATATAAGAACTCTAGTAGGAGTAATAACAGGCTACTGTCTAATAGGCAGACATGCAAGTAGACTTGGTACGCCATAAAATGACTATTGTGCAAGCTGTCAGGAAGTAGAAGAGGAAGAGACCATTAAACATCTTCTATGCGATTGCGCAGCACTATATAGGAAAAGAATCGCAGCCAACGGTCGTGGGTTTCTTGACGACGTCTCGTAGGTTGCACGGATAAAACTTGTCTCACTGATGAAGTTCATCAGAAGTACGGGGTGGTTCAGAGAGGAGCCAATAAAGTGAGGGAACCACATTCCCGGTGGTATCACAATGGGCCTCCTAAGGGTAGGTCAAAAGACAGTCACTTTACCTACCTACCTAACTACGCTTTGCGAATAGGGCCATAACCTGTTGAGCAGAGATATGTTATTTCATAATATTTATTTTACTCATAACATTTATATTAAGAAACTACATGCTTTCCGTTCTCTACAAAAAAAAATGGCTTGTGTTTTCTGCGGATTTACAAGAATCTTCCATTTAGAGATATATTTATGAAAAACATTAAGAGCTGATTGTAATTTAGTGATATGTGATAGTAAGCAATGTAATAATCAAATATTGATGTATTGCATCAATTTAATTGGGGAAAATTTGCAGTAATCTGTATACCATATATTGTATGGGACAAGCAAATGGCCTTAAAGACATCCAACTAGGATTTCAATGTATGGGGACTGGATACTACCAATATGAGCTAAGAAAATCCGGTTTTATTCATTTTGTAAAGGATCCCATCATGCCACACTGAGTCAAAAGAAGCTTTGATGTCTACAAGTATTAATACGATGCCTGTAGATTGGTTCCTTGTGAAATTGCTCTTTATGACTAACTAGAGCATGAACGGTGTTATGTTCATTTCTAAAGCCAAACTATTTGATTGGAAAAATTGCATCGTCTTCAACGAAAGTTATTAACTTTTTCTTTAACAAGCTTTTCCAGGATTTTACTGATTGATGGGAGTAAACTTATGTGACGGTAAGAACAGGATTTTTTAGCTATGATTTTAGTCTTCTTCCATGTTTTAGGAAAGTCTACGGTGGAGAAAACATTCGTTAATTATATTTACAAGATAACGAACTACTTTTTTGGGTAGAGATTTCAGACAACTATTGTTAATACCGTCGATAACAGGAGACTTTTTAGTTTTTAAGTTCTTTAGTATTGTAAAAATTTGTTCAGAGTTGATATAAAAACTATCGGAAGGCAGAAGCACTGCTGCGTTACGTGGCGAGATAAAATAAGCGACATCAGTAGTAGGATCACTCAAATGAGCAGATGCAATGTGACTCCTACAAAAAAATTGTATTACCTTATGATATTCTATCATATAATTTGCTTATTTTCAATTAAATTGCATGACTTGTCCTTTCGAAAAATAATTGAACTGGTCATTTATATTTTTATTTATTATATTCTTGTATAGCTGTCAATAATTCGTCTTTGGGTGTTGTGTTGTATATACTTATTAAGGTCCGTAAAATTTCTAATATGGTTGAATGTAACCGTTCTACTTGAGCGTTCGTGGTAGAGTGATTGGTTGTGCTTAATGTACGCTTTATGCTTCAAACAGTCACCGTCGCAAAACCGTGGACCGAATCAACTGATACGACTTATCTTATGAAAGCGCAATGTAAATGAATACTCACCACCGCTTCTACAACGTCCGGTGTGTTTAACTTGAGTACCTGCCGTCGACGGCCTTACCTCACGGTGCTCGAAAGTACAACGTATCAAAACAATGCGTGGATAAGCTCCCCAAATAATACGAGCTTTTTGCAAGTATTATTTTGGTTACCAGTGGCCAGTGTGTAGGGGCACTCTGACCATCTTGGTAGGATTCGAGGCCGACCTAAAACCTCTTCCGTTTTCTGGTATGGAACCCAGTTGCTTGTGCAACTTCTTTTTTGAACTGAAAATACAGTTCTTCCAGCATTTAGGTTTAAACCACAGCCACCACGATACTTCCTAAAGGGCCGAACCCAATGAGCAGATTGGACCGAAGTCCAAGGGCTTTCTGCTCCCCGTGGTACCAGAAAGTCTCCGGTAAGACTGTGTAGCCGAAACTACTGCCAGTTGAGCAACCCATTACTCAATGACTGGTGACATTTGTCGCTTGAACTTTAAATGTCTTTTTATTTGGGATTTCATTTAAAGTCTATAATATCAGTTCAAGCTGAGAATTATAGCACTATTTCTGACATCATTTACTATGCTGATAATTCTGGGCAAAATAAATTAACAGTCATAGTGCATTTGGCTTTTAGTCGCCTTTTACGACAGGCATGCCTTACCTTCTACTTCCGCTTCTACTGTCCTCTTCTACAGACCGTACGGTAGGATATCCACGAAAATTGGATTTTTCCTGTAGAAACGAGTGAGCTGAGAGTGAAACAGCAATCTCTTGCAACGCTGGGTTGCCAGTCTCGATATTTTGTAGCAATTAAAAACTAAACTTGAATATATTTGAAATCTTCTTAAAATTACAGTCGAATACATTTATTTATAAATAGGTAGACTATTTTTAATATTTGGATTTTAGGCTTTTATATTATGAAAAATGAGAACTAAAAAACTAAATGGTTGTAAAATCGTGTATACAAATGGCATCATTGGTGAAATGGAAACAAAAGAGAACAACTGAATTCTGCGTTGCAACTACGGGCATAACTTTTGACAAATTTGGTTTAATACGGGCGGTAAGTACAGAAGGGAGGAATGTCGGTGACTGTTTGAAGCATTACATTAAGTTTATAGAATAGGGCAGAGAATGTTAATAAATAGAGAAGGCGAAAATGTTAGCTGTTTAAAATGTAAATTATTAAAAGGGAACATCGAGAATGCGCAAATTCGAAAGTTCAAATACACCATGTCAAAAAGATACCTTTCCCTTATGATAATCGAATTCAACAAAGTACACCACTCTAAGCAGGAAACAAGTAAATTGTCACCACCTTATAAAGGAACGACTAATATATGTATGCGCTGATGTTTTTTGGCTTTGTGTTAGGGAAAATTAGAATAATAAGAAGAAATAATAGATTTTGGAGAACACTTATATAATATAATAAGAAAAAAATGAAAATTAAATTAAAATAAATTTATTAAAAAACGTTTAAAAAAAAGAATAAAACTACATCTGTGCTATGATGTGAACTAGACAAATATTTGATGTGAATTACCAAAAAGAAGCTGTGCTATACAAGCAGCACCACAAACACAATACATTAAGAGCGGTCTAATGTGTGAACATTATAATTACCTATATAATATTTTTGCTTGTTTCAAATAATCAATTTGTATGAGAATATTCTCGAAATTGCCTTTCCTCCATTCGCATGTCTAAATATATTTGCATATATGTGCACATATGTATGTATGTCCATCAATATGCCATTTGTAAAAAATTAAGCATTCGCGCAACTGACAAAAAAATCACAAACCTTCATCAAGCTCGCGCTATATTTTCTAAATATTTCATATTAAAACGCCAACAATTTAAAATAAAAATGAATGAAATTGAATTTGAATGTCTTCAGTAAAATTGAAGAATAAGCAAAATTTCAATTTTACAATTTTTCCGACCATTTCCTCGCATGTGTATGTTGCCCACAAGCTGCCTCCTCATGATGATGCTAAACATCAGAAATTGAATAATTTGTCTGATGTTCCCTTCAGAAAGGAGAATTTACAACATGGCTTATGAGCGACTTCAAATATATTTTTAATTACTTCATATAATTCATTATACAATATATGATATCATATTACAAAATTTATATAAAATTGCCATTTATATGAAATCCATTATTACTTCTATATGTTCTAAGCACACTGCATATAGTACTTTTATGTGTTTACCTATTATCATTATTTCATATTTTTTTTATTTAGCCCATTTTATCTAAGAATGACGGTATGAAAATGCAGCCAAATCGGTAGTCGTGGTATTTCAAAAGAGCATAAGTAAATTTTCAATAGCAAAGCACTGCAAAAAGGACAAACGCGACAACATAGCCGACCGACATTGTCGCAAAATTGAGGGTTCAAACAAATTTTGTCAACTCCGCGACGCTGCGCAAAATGCGGCGTTAATATGTATGCAAGCTCCTATGTATGTATGTTTGTCGGCAAAGTTGTCATTTTTTTGTTTTGTTGGAACTCAATTTTGTTCCGCCCCGTCTCCGCGCGAACTCGCCATTACTCCCATGGGGTGCCATCATGGTCAGAGGCGTTACTACGGAGGATTTATATCTTATTATTCTATTGTTTAATTTGTATTGAGAAATACTGATATCTTAGGGCTTATTTAAATAATATTATAATAGTTACATAAAAATATAAATACACATAAATTCCTACTTATAATCGTTTTTAAAATAAATTCGTTTAATAAAAATATATCTGAAATAATTATGTGGCAGTGCGCCCCTCATGCCTCCTTGCTGGCGATCGTTCAACTTGCGTCTCGTTAAAAACCAAAAGTGTAGAAAAGGTAATTGTTTGTGCGGGCAAGAAGAAGCAAGCATCAGCGTACGTGTACTTATGAATGATGTGTGATTTTCACATTTATATAAATACGCATCTATAAGGCAATTATTGAATATTTACCTAAATATATGAGCATATTTTCCTGAAATATTAATTATCTCAGGAAGTAAAATATGCTATGAAGCAATTGAAATCAGATAATCTTGATCATATCAAGTACTAAAATAAAATAAAAATAAAAATTAAGATTTATGATTTACAGCAGTGTTTTTCAATCTTTTTGATTTCGCGACCCCTTTACAGGTTGAAATATTCTGGCGACCCCCTTGTGTCATAGTAAGTCAAAGAAATGATTTAATTTTAATTAAAAGACTACATACGTTAGGTAATAAGTTTTTCCTATTTTGGCAAATTTATCTATTATTCGCGCGGGTCATACTGCATCGGCGACGGCGACGTTGCCACACCGCAAGACATGATTGTCGTTGCCGTAACAGCAAGCGTCCCGCGCGCGCCACCCGCAATGTTCTTTTGTTTCAACTCTCATCACTCAGTTAAGCGTAGTCGCCCATGAGTTCATAAAAATATAAAATGGATAAATTTCTCAAAAGATCGCAGCCTTCAACATCTGGTACGAGTATCAATAGCGGTGGTGGTGAATCGAATCCGAAAAAAAATAGACATTATGATGACAGTTATTTGAAATACGGGTTCACAGTCGTAAATAATAAACATCAATGTGTAATTTGCGGCGATGTTTTATCACGTGAGAGTATGAAACCGTCAAAGCGTATGCGGCATCTCACAACCAAGCATCAAAAAGAAGCTGATAAGCCGTTGGATTTCTTTGAACAAAAGTTGAAAGCTCTTAGTCAGCAGCAAAATACTATAATTCAGGTAAGTAAGAGAATAATGAAAAAAGCGTGGGGTGCACTATAAATCAGCTCTTAAAAAGCGCCCCACCCTTTTTTCACAATAATACTATTTTTATACTCTCGCAACATGTTGCTACAGAGTATAATAGTTTTGTTCACCTAACGGTTGTTTGTATAACCTAAAACTAATCGAGTTAGAAGAGACGAGGATGAAGAGACGAGTTGAAATCCGGGTGACTGTCTGTCCGTCCGTCCGTCTGTCCGTCCGTGCAAGCTGTAACTTGGGTAAAAATTGAGATATGTTTATGAAACTTGGTAGACATGTTTCTTGGTACCGTGAGACGGTTGGTATTGCAGATGGGCGTAATCGGACCACTGCCACGCCCACAAAACGCCATTAATCAAAAACAAATAAATTGCCATAACTAAGTTCCGCAATAAGATACAAGACTGTTATTTGGTAAACAGGATCACATTAGGGAGGGGCATCTGCAGTTAAAATATTTTTTTAATAATGGGCGTGGTCCCGCCTCTAATAGGTTTAATGTGCATATCTCCTAAACCGCTAATGCTATTATAACAAAATTCACTGGAAGCAAATGTTTTTAGCACTTCTATTGACGGTGTGAAAATAGTTGAAATCGGGTGGCAACTCCGCCCACTCCCCATATAACGGTACTGTTAAAAACTACTAAAAGCGTGATAAATCAAGCACTAAACACGGCAGAGACATTAAATTTTATCTCTGGGATGGTATGAGATGACTTTATAGGAACCGCGTTCAAAATTAGGCAGTGGGCGTGGCACAGCCCACTTTTAGGTGAAAACCCATATCTTGGGATCTGCTTAACCGATTTCGGTACATAACATTCTTTTCATATTTCTATGGTATAGTGCGAAAATGGTTGAAATCGGATTACAACCACGCCTATTTGCCATGTAACACCATTTTCAATTCCATCTGATTCTTTCACTTTCCACTATGCAAATCAGGCAACAATGATTATATCGGGATAAAACTTTGCGTAAATAATGCGATTAAAGTATGCCACCTTGTGGCCAAAAATAGTCTAAATCGAACCAAAACTGTTCAAGCCCCTAAGTACTAAATATGTGGACCCCAGTGCCTATAGTTGACCTTCTACCGAAAATATCAGCCAATCCACAAAGAAATCTCAAACGAGTATACCATTTGACTTTGCGAGAATATAAAATGTTTGATTACATCCGAACTTAGCCCTTCCTTACTTGTTTTATACTATATTTTTACTGTTGGTGTTTATTTCTTTGTTATTTGTATACAACTTTTGATTATACTTAATTTCGGTGTGCAAAGGTTCCGCGTCCTTAATTTTTATTGACTGTTCACTTGTATATTGTTTGGTTTATTTTCAGGCATCCAGTGTCAACGAGTCAACGTTATTAGCTAGCTACAAAGTCGCATATCGAGTTGCTAAAACAGGGAAACCACATACAATTGCCAAAAATCTTATTTTGCTAGCGGCACTCGATATGGTGGAAATTATGGTCAGTAAGCAGGAGGCAAACAAATTTAAAAAAATACCACTTTCTTACAGTACTATTTCACGCAGAATAAACGATATGGCCAAGGATATTCAAGAACAAGTAGTCGAAAAATTAAAGAATAGCCAACATTTTGCCTTGCAGTTCGATGGATCTACAGATGTTTCCGACTGTGCACAGTTTGTAGTATTTGTGCGCTTTGAAGCAGATGACAGTATTACGGAAGAAATCTTATTTTGCAAAGCACTTCCTGCAAACACTGCTGGCCAGTGTTTGTACGATATGTTTTCAGAAAGCACTTGCGACTACGATATTGATTGGAAAAAATGTATCGCTATTTGTAGCGATGGCGCTAAAGCTATGACTGGCAAAAATAGCGGACTCATAGCAAAATTAAAATCGATAATACCAAACATATCCTGGACACACTGTTTTCTTCATCGACAGGCTCTTGCTGCTAAGGTAATACCTTCTGATTTAAATGACGTGCTCAAGGAGGTAATAAAAATTGTGAATTTTATCAAAGGTAAAGCTTTGCAAACCCGGCTATTCAGAATCGTTTGTGAAGATATGGGCTCGCTTCATCAAAATCTCCTTTATCACACAGAGATCAGGTGGCTATCCAAAGGAAAGGTATTGACAAGAGTTCTGGAACTGAGAGCTGAATTGTTAATGTTCTTACAAGATGCAAAATCAGAATATGCTTACCGTTTTTCTGACCCTATTTGGCTCTTGAAATTAGCATTTTTGGCAGATCTTTTTAGCCACCTAAACAATTTGAACAAGAACCTTCAAGGAAGAGAAGAAAAGATTTCAACAGCTAACGATAAAGTAAAAGCATTTCACGCAAAACTTCGTTTGTGGTCGTCAAAATGTTTGAGTCTTTTCCGTGTACTCAGAAGATTGTTGAAGATAATGCATCAGACCAAAGTTTTGCAGTATCGGCTCATATTCCTTGCATGATACAAAGCATGCATAATTTACAAGATAAACTTTTGACATACTTTCCAGACTTGCACTCTGAAGCTGACAATGGGTGTAGATGGATTTTAAGCCCTTTTTTGGACAAATCAATAAATCTGGCTGATGTCAATACAAAAATGAAAGAATGTCTTCTAGAATTAGCTACTGATGGCATGCTTAAAATGGAATTTTATTCGCAAATTGTCGACGTATTTTGGATGAAAAGAAAACACGAATATCCAGAGCTGGCAAGGGAAGCTCTTAAATTATTAGTGCCATTCGCCACTTCATACTGACATTTTCTTTTATGGTAGACATTAAAACTAAAAAGAGAAATAGACTGCAATTAGAAAATGATTAAATTATTAATGTTTCAAAAATAACACCACAATTTGATAAATTAATGAAAAATAAACAAGCATATCTTTCTCATTAAAATTGTGTTTTTGTTGTGTAAGAACCTCGACTTTTTCTTTCAGCTGGCGACCCCCCGAGTAAGGCTTTGCGACCCCCTTAGGGGTCGCGACCCACAGATTGAAAAACACTGGTTTAAACACTATATAACTAATACACTGAAATTAGTTTGAATACAGCACTTTGCCGGTCAAGAAATCTAGTGTAACTGAAACTACAAACACAGTGTACTGATATTTATTATACTCTTGCAACATGTTGCTACAGACTATAATAGTTTTATTATGGTATATTTTTGTACACACAGCTTACGTACTTATGTATACCTATATATTACATAGATATTCACTAACATAATAATACAGATTATTTAGATATATTTATATTTTAGAAATTAGTAGTTTTTTTCATTGTATTGAAATTAAGTGCTCGGAGAACCCCTCCGTAAATTGCTTTTGTCTAACGCTTTTTAAAACAGGGATCTACCTATTTTGAAAGGTCTGCTCATGAAGGCTAAATTAACAATAACTTACATATAATTAAGTATGGTACACACAAATGTATAGCAGGTATGTAGATTTTCTTATTTCTGTCTTAATATCTAAACCTTTCATAAGCAGCCAACGGCGCTGGGTAAATCCCAAAAAGTACTTAAATGTAATTTTCTTGAGTTTACGGTTCACCTCATGACTTTCATATTAAAATGTGTCGCAAAACTGAATTAATAGATAATAGCATTTTAACCGATGGGGTCGCAGTTTATCTATTACCACGTAAAAAGAATCTTTAGCCCTTTTGATACTACACTGCTAATATTTATCTCACGCGATTTTTTCTAGAAAGATATTTTTGCTCTATACAAAGTCCAGCACTCTAAGAAACTTTTTTACATTGTTGTCTGGTATATTTTGTTATAAGTTCAACATGATGGCTGAGAAAATATACTTATCCACTAATTATCACCAAATATTAGAAAAAATATTTGTATATAGAAATCTATATCTATCTCGATTAGTTTTAGGTGATGCAAACAACCGTTTGATGAACAAAACTATACTCTGTTGCAACATGTTGCGAAAGAATTCAACATTTATTATTCGATTATTATTTGGTATCTTATTAACTTATGTTATTGATCGTGGATTTACTATTTTAGATAGATACTATTTTTTCTCCGAAATGTTAACTTTAACAAAAATAAGCTATTTAACTCAAACATGGTATATGCTGGGGAAATTCGTGGATCGATTTTACACATTTTCGGCATTAAACTGTTGTATATCTAATATTTTACGTTTATATAAAGCCAAAGGAAGTTTGAATTTTTTACATAAAGTATGTTGGAGCTAGGGTCAATATATACTCGATAATGGGTACTAGGGCGGAACCAAGAATTTTATACTCTTGTAATTCGCAGGAATCAAAGGCGAGGAAATTCCTTCAGGTGTGGCAAAGTTGAGAAAGAATTAAACATCCATTATTAAATGAAATCGTGATTAAATTACAATCAACTTTGGTATCTTCTTGACTTATATAATATTAAAGGCCATAAACTTAGTCTCAGTTTTATTGCTATATTTCAGTCAGCGAAAATTATATTAAAAGAAAAACAAAAAAAAATATTGAAGTGAGGTATACATAAGCATAATTGTTATATAATATTAACTCGACCAAAATGGCTAAATTGGGAAAACTTTAGTATACCGTCCCAGGCTTTCGGAGATAAAATAGGTATGAGCGGATAGAGGAGATCGTCCAGATCATGAATATATACAGATATAGCCGCGGGAAACTTTTCGAGATATTTACGTTTGAAGTTGAAAATTCCAATTATTAAAGTTCGCATTTTTGTCGATTTCAAATGAATTATACACTTATATTTTTCACTCTTATATCCACTAACACTTCAGTAATTCGTTTGTACACATTTATTTTACATTATATAGTGTTAAAATGGTTTAATTCAATAATTAAATTATTGTTAAATTCTATTAGTTCAAATAACCAGTGTTACCTTATCGAAATCTTTTGTAATTGAACTGAAAGATATGAAAACAGATAATACCTTATATACTGGAATCTAAAACCTAGAGAAATAAACTATTAGAGAGCATTGATGTTAAGTACTGTTATACCCTCTATGACAATATTACTTTTTCTTGAAGAACTTCTTTTTGCGTTGGCGTCCTTCGGCCGCGCTACAAAAAGAATAACCCTGGTCGGTCCAACACCGGGATGTACCAAGGTCTTTTCGCGTAGAATTTTTTTTGCGTTGGCGGCCTTCGGTCGCGCTTTAAAAAAATAACCCTGGTTGGTCCAACACCGGGGCTTACCAAGGTTTTTTTTGCGTTGGTTCCTCTATCTAGGGTATAATCTCTCTATTTATTTTATTTTTCTTCGTTTGTAAAATATATTAGTATGGCAACACTGGTATTTTGACATTTACAACCCTTTTGTTATTGTCAAAATTAATAAAATTGAAGAATGATTTAAATATTGAAATAAAGCTAATTTTGCAGCATCTAATATAAAAAAAATTTCTAAAAACGAATTAGTCAAGTGTTAGTGGATATAAAAGTGAAAAATATAAGTGTATAATTCATTTGAAATCGAAAAAACACGTACTTTAAATAGTTGAAATTTTCAACTTTAAACCTAAATATCTCGAAAACTATAAGTTTTCCGCGGCTATATCTATATATATTCTTCTGGAGGATCTGCTCTATCCGCCCATACCCATTTTATCCCCGAAAGCCTGGGACGGTATACTAAAGCCGACCCTATTTAAAACTTGTAAGTGCTTTGAAATATTAAAGGATTTTGTTAAATTTAGTTTTAAAAGTTAATTTGGAAAATCTTTTGTGATTAAAATATACACGTACATATATTTAGAAGTAATATAGGATATCTAGCTTGTTAAACTAATTTTAATTATGTATATTTATCTGTAAAATGGAAACCTAAAAATACCCAAGAAATACAATCTCAAAACTTATTTCTTTCCCTAGTGGCACCACTGTCAAATGTTAGAAAAAATGTAGACTTTGACAGCGCTCTCTCGAATCAAAGAGTTTCGGATAATTTTATCTATGATTGCTAGCAATACAGTTTTCTCGACAACATCTATTGCCTGTCAAGATGCCTCTTAATTATTTTTCAACACGGTTGTTGCTACTTTCCACAGGTTTTAAACTCCTATTTTCATATTTTTTTGATGACAAATATAATATTTTTATATTGCAGTACTTTTATAATGACAAGTTATTGTGTGAAATATAGAGTGAGTTCTCACATATTAAAGTGTTATGGTAATAAAGAGAATTTTTAATACCGTGTATCTATTTTATGGATAAATATTTGCGTGTTAAACTTTAAATATTGTAAATCATTTAAAATTAAACTATTATCTAAGGAGTTAATATTAAATAGTAGCATGTTTAGTATCAGTGAACTTTGCTGTATGTTCTGTTGTCCGCCTTGTCCCGGACCGATTGCAGCTAAGCTTGCTTTCCAACCACCCGAGCCAACTTATAAGTTGACTCCTGCTGATGATGCCAATGTAAAGTATAATTTACATCTATTTGAACGTGCAGAGTGGCAGTACTCTGAACGTGATAAGTCCAAAGTGGAGTCATTTTTCACGCGAACCTCTCGTGGAAATTTAATTACATGTATATATGTACGTTGTAGCAGAAATGCAAAATATACGCTACTTTTTTCTCATGGGAATGCCGTTGATCTGGGTCAAATGAGTAGCTTTTATATATCTCTTGGAACGCAACTAAACTGTAATATATTTGGCTACGATTACTCTGGCTATGGAATGAGTGGTGGCAAACCATCAGAAAAAAATTTATACGCTGATATTGAAGCCGCTTGGCAAGCACTCAGAAATAGGTGAGTAATTTATAATACATAATATATGGCACTTTCACTACTTTTTATGTTTAAGCAATAAAAATCAAAAAAAAATACTAATTACGTACATAGTATGTACATTGACTCACATCAGTATATTGGTTAAACTTTAGAATAGAATCCGGGTCGTCTTTAGTATACCATCCCACGATTTTAGGGTTAAAAGGAGTATGGTTGGATAGGGGAGATTCTCCAGATAAAGAATGTATATAATTATAGCCTCCGGTTTTCGATATATTTGCATTTTAATTTGAAAATTTCACAAATTTTATCTTACAATTTCTCTATTTATAGTTATTTTTTCTTTTATATTATGCACTTATTATACACTTACACTTCACTACAATGTTTCTACATATTGAATTTATATTAATTATTATATTTTTTGCTTTAAATAAGCATTTTATGTTTTCACAATTTTCGTTATATGCACAATAACAAATTTCCCTTGAAATAGTGGGATGGTATACCAAAGTTTCCAAACCTATAATTTTTTTTGCGTCGGCTTTAGTATACCGTCCCAGGCTTTCGGCGATAAAATGAGCTTAGGCGGATACAGGAGATCCTCCTTATCAAGAATATATATAAATACAGTCGTGGAAAACTTACAGTTTTCGAGATATTTACGTTTAAAGTTGAAAATTTTAACTATTTAAAGTACGTATCTTTTCGATTTAAAATGAATTGAACACTTATATTTTTCACTTTATATACTAGATGCTGCAAAAATAGCTTTATTTGAATATTTAAATCATTCTTCAATTTTATTAATTTTGACAATAACAAAAGGGATGTAAATGTCAAATAACCAGTGTTGCCATACCAATATATTTTGCAAACGAAGAAAAATAAAATAAAAGAGAGATATATATCCTAAATACAGGTACCATAATTGTTGATGGATACTAAAAACTTTTAGTTTCATTTACTTGATAAATCCCGGTGTGGGACTGCCCAGGGTTTTTTTTTTGAAACGCAGCCGAAGGTCGCAAACGCAAAAAGAATTTCTGCGCGGTTATTTTTTTTGAAGCTCTGCCAACGCAAAAAGGAGTTCTATGCTAGAAGGCCTTGGTACACCCCGGTGTTGGAACGACCAGGGTTATTTTTTTGAAGCGCGGCCGAAGGCTGCCAACGCAAAAAGGAGTTTTACGCGAAAAAGTAACATTGTCATAGGGGGTATAACATAATCCTTAACATCAATGTTCTCTAATATTTTATTTTTCTAGCTTTTGGATTCCTGTATTTGGGGTATTATCTGTTTTTATTTCTTTCAGTTCATTTACAAAAGATGTCGATAAGTTAACATTGGTTATTTGACATTTTGTAACCCTTTTGTTATTGTCAGAAGTAATGGAATTTAACAATAATTGAAATATTGAATTTAACTATTTTTGCAATATATAATGTAAAATAAATGTGTACAAACGAATTAGTGAAGTGTTAGTGGATATAAAAGTGAAAAATATAAGTGTATAATTCATTTGAAATCGAAAAAAAGCCTACTTTAAATAGTTGAAATTTTCAACTTTAAACGAAAATATCCTGACAACTATAAGTTTCCCGCGGATATATCTATATATATTCTTGATCTGGAGGATCTCTTCTATCCTAGCCCTAGCCTATACCCATTTTAACCCCGAAAGCCTGGGACGGTATACTAAAATCATCCCTTTCTCTTAATTTGTCTTATTTTTATGCCTAGTTTACAAATTCGTAAACAAAAAGTGAATTTTTTCAATAATTAATTTATACTTTTATATAAAAATATATTTAATACACTTTACACATCTTTTTTAATTAACTTAGTTGTTTTTTATTGTTGTTGTAGAATTCAGATAACTTAGCTGTAATTACCCGTTTAACGAGTTAGACATTATCTTGTGAAGAAAAATACTGAAGAAATGTAACAGTTACAATTTTTTTTATGTCGCGATCAGATGGTATGGACGAATAGAGAAGACTCCTTTCTGCACTGGCGGCGTGTGTAATTTTTTGATTTTTATGGAAAAACTAAAAAAAAAAGAATTATGGAAAAAATCGACTTTCCGCTCACCGATTTGTAATCTTCGCGTCAAAATAAGATGATTTTAAAAAATTTTAATTTTCGGGGCCTCCCTAATTGGGGGACCTAAACCTTTTATTTATTTTTATTCGTTTGCAAAATATGGCAACCCTTATTTTTTGTTTGCACTATTTAATACAAAACAAATGTGTAGAGACGTAAAAAGTTAAAATATAAGAGTGAAATTCATTATAAATCAAAGAAATACGCACTTTAAATAGTAGAATTTTTTAACTTTAAATGTGCACATACCTAATAAAGTCTGCGTTCACCTGACACATTTTTTTAAGTGAAGTAAAAACACAATGTAAATAGATAATTCCGTTCAAATTAAATTTTTTTTATATTCTTAAGTTCAAAATGCAAAAACAAAAATATATATTCTTATTTTCGTTTTTTAAATAATGGGATTTTAGTGCAATAAAATGTAAATATATGCACCAGAAAAAGAAGAATTAAATTCAATATTTTGTTGGATAAGTTCTGACTTCATAATATTTCGCAAAGCCTCTTTACTTGTTATTGTAAGCTGCCAAGCTTTTTTTCCAACAGATCCCATAGATGCTCAATAGGATTAAGGTCAGGTGATTGAGGGGGCGTTTTAAGTTGTCTAGGAGTATTGTACAAGAGCCAAAGTCTAACTATTTCTGCAGCATGCTTCGGGTCATTACCTTGTTGGCACTAAAACGTCGAAGGTAATCCAATATACATTTTTGTTTTTGTATTTTGAACTTAAGAATATAAAGAAGAAATAATTGTAAAAAATTTGAACTGAATTATCTATATACATTGTGTTTTTACTTCGCTTAGAAAAATAGTGCTACAGCTACAGCATTAAACATGTTTTTCGATGAAATTTCGTGTACCCTGATTTTGGCTTACAGGACTGTTTAGAGTATTGTCACAATTACAAGTTTTCCGACTCATTGAGTAAACATACAACCTCTCGCCATGACCCTTCCCACGACAGTGGGGTCTAAGTAACCGGAACTGAAAAATAAATTTTTTATCAGATTTATTTAGAATGAAAGTTAATCTTAAGATCGTTAAAAGTTCAGACCTTCCTGTTTGCTATTCATACTAACTAAAAACTTCATGAATAGGAAGCTGCTCAATGTGAGAAAATGAGAGATCTAACTATAATTGAAACTGTGAAATAAAGATCAATAATTGTTAATATTATATTTTCAATTGGTTTTTAGGTATAACAATCAAGTACCTAAAACTACCGCAGTAAGCGAACAAAATGATATCGACGTCAGGTAAATGAAAATTTAAACTTTTACACCAAGTCAGTTAACATCGTGACCATGTAATGAAATCCACGCTTAGATGGTAAGGTTCAATTTGTTTGTCATCGAAGTAACCTATCGTTAGGCGCAGGAAACGTGCGGTTTCGTAGGGGTCGGATAATAGGGAGAGGGGTGTTATATGAGTGGAATTCATTGGGAATGCAAAAAGGTGGTTAGACTCATGCGGTGATTCATTGCACGAAGGAAATATATTTGGTATGTCAGATTATCCAAAATCGACGATAAGTAGGAATTTAACCTGCTATAGTATCCAGAACGACAATGCGCAAGTGTCACTCTAGATTATCGGGGCAAATCGAGCTCTTCTTCTATATGTAGGGGTTTGGCTCCAACTAGGTAGGCCTCTCTATGTGTCTGTTCAACAGGAGCATCAAGATGCATCCTGTAAGAATCCGGAGTGCAGTATTCCAATACGTCTGAAGCTTCTGCCTCTACGTTTCACTATATCCAGGTGACCGAATCGGTGCAAGTTGATGACTGGTCGGCCGATGTATGTTGCCAACAACTTTTCTTTGTTCTTTCCCAAGGAGCTGCTGCTGTATATGAATTGAAGGAGTAGAGGCTGTCAAACGTAATGCCTAAAATCTTATGGTTTTCGACAGTCAGAATTTTAACACCATCGACTGTGATATTAAGATCCACTCTGTACACCTTCGTCCATTTCATTAATATGGTCGCTATGGATTAAGGAGGGAGAGTGTCAGGCTACTTTCGAAAACATGCCATGTTGTTGTTGTTATAACGATTATCTAATCCCCGTTTGGGTGATAAATTCTAGATTCGTTGTCGTCGAGGTCATCTAACGGAAGGCCCAGGAAACGAGCTGTTTCGACGGGGTCGGACCATAGGGAAAGGGGTGTTAGATGAGTGGCGTTTGTTGGGCATGCAAAGAGGTGGTTAGTGTCATGCGGAGACTCATTGCATGCAGGACATGTGTTTGGTATGTCAGGGTCTATTCTGGATAGGTAGGAGTTTAACCTGCTACAGTATCCAGAACGAAGTTGCGCGAGGGTCACTCTAGATTCGCGAGGCAACTCGAGCTCTGTGTCTGCAATGGGTGGTGGTTTGACTCGTATTACGCCATTCACTGAAAGGGAGTCGGTGAAGGTGTTAATGGCCGGCCGATTGCCTTGTATGTTGCCAACAACGTTTCTTTGTCCTTTCCCCATGAGCTGCCGGCAAGCGACTTGAGGATTTTGTTGCGGCTCTGTACTTGGGCAGTTATCGCGGTCGTGTGAGGAGTGAAGGAGCACAGACTGTCCAAAGTGACGCCTAAAATTTTAGGGTTATTTACTGTCGGAATTTTTGTGCCATCGACTGAAATGTTCAGGTCCAGTCTGTACTCCTTCGTCCAATTGGTGAAGATGGTCGCTGTGGATTTAGTGGGGGAGAGTGTTAAGTTCCTTGCAGAAAAGAAGCGAGAAAGATCGGAGAGGTAGCCGTTTACTTTTGAACACATGCCATCGATTCCATTGCCCGACGTCAATATCGTACAGTCATCTGCGTACGAGGTCATTGAAATTCCCGCTGGTGGCTGGGGGAGTTTCGAAATGTAGAAATTAAACAGTAGCGGGGAGAGGACACCGCCCTGCGGAACCCCCTGTTTAATTTTCCTGAGTTTGGAGTTTTGACCTCGAAATAGTACGGATGAGTGTCGACCGCTCAGGTAGTTCATGGTCCACCGCTTCAGCCCTGGAGGGAGCGTTGATTGTTCCAGGTCCTCAAGTAGCGTTGCGTGATTGACTGTGTCAAAAGCTTTTGACAAGTCCAACGCTACGAGGATCGTCCTCTCGCAGGGTGGCTTCTGGTTCAGGCCATGAACTATCTGGGCGTTTATGACGCTAAGTGCTGTGGTGGTACTGTGCACTTTACGGAAACCATGCTGATGGTCTGCTAGGCTCAGGTGGTGGGTGAATGACGGGAGTAACAAGGCCTCAAGTGTCTTCACTACTGGGGAAAGGAGAGTTATCGGGCGATAAGACTCCCCTTTGTTGGCGGGTTTCCCAGGTTTCAGCAGTGGGACCACTCTTCCGACTCTCCACACATCGGGTATTTGAAGAGTGGATATCGACAGGTTGAGGACCTTGGTGAGGTAGTTTACTCCCGTTGGGCCTAGATGTTTTAACATCAGCATGTTTATTCCGTCAGGGCCGATGGATTTAGACGATTTCGCCTTTTTGATGACACTCTAAACCTCCCCTTCGCAGTCTTTTGGCATTTTGCGCAGCCGTCGGGTAACACATCGTTTGGCCTTGTCGGTCGAAGGGTGCAGTATAAACTGCCGGCTAAAGTAGCTCGCGCACTTCTTCGGGTCCGAGGAGGCATGGCCATCGAATTGGATTTCAACCCGATCGTCATGTTTCCTCGGATTTGACAGGGCCTTGACAGTAGTCCAAAGCTTACTCACACCGGTGGAGAGGTTGCAGGACTTCAGGTGCTCTATCCATTTTGTCCGCTTATGGTGGTTTACCATTTGCCGAATCTCCAAATTGAGATCCCTTATTCGGGGATCACAGGGATCGGCATGGCGTAAGGTGTCGCGCTCATTTGCTAATACAGCTGCTTCGGCTGGGAAATTAGGGCGGAGTTCCGCTATTCTTCCAGCCGGTATGAAGCGAGCTGTAGCAGCAGCGATCACCTTGCGGAATTGACGCTCGCCAACGATGACGTCCGTAGGAATGGATAGTGCGTTGAAGGTGCTCTCAGTAAATTCTGTGAAGCCGACCCAGTTAGCTTTGTTAAAGTTAACATAGGTGCGGTTATCCACAGAAATAAAGTCAGGAGGTTTCTCGATCGAGATAATTATGGGCAGATGGTCTGATGCAAGAGTTAGCATAGGTCGCCAGGTTATACTATTTATCAGACCACCGCTAGCGATAGTAATATCTGGCGAGCTATTACAGGTGCCCATAATTCTGGTGGGGGCTTCGTCATTCATTGTGCAGAATGTCGAATCGTCTATCTGTTCCGCCAGCTCCATCCCCCTACGATCGTTTGACAGGCAGGAATGCCAAAGATCGTGATGCGCGTTAAAGTCGCCTAGCACCAGACGGTTTTCACCACGAAGTAGCGCATCTATATTCGGGTGATATCCTGTTGGGCAACATGTAACTGGGGGGATGTATATATTAAATATTTCGAGCTCGACATCGCCTGACCGGACAGCTAATCCCTGACATTCTAGGGTGGTGTCCCTGCGGTCGATGTCAACATCGATTAGACGATATTGCACGGTGTTGTGCAATATGAAAGCTAGGCCTCCACCATTATCCCGCTCGCGATCCTTACGTAAAACGTTGAAACCTGCACAACTCAGAAGATCTGAGCGGCTGTTTAACTTGGTTTCTTGGACCGCAGCTATCGTTACGCGCTCCCATCTCATAAATGCAACTATCTCCTCGATCTTGCTCTGGAGTCCGTTGCAGTTAAATTCTAAGAGTCGCGTTTGTCGCGGGTGTCCAGTCGTGATCCTGGGGGTGAGTGGGGTGCGTGTAGGTGGTGGTTGTTGCAGCTGTGCTATCCGCATGGGCGGTTGTCGCACTATGGTGTTGATTGGCGACGCCACTGTTTGTGATTGCGGGGGCAGACTCCCACAGCATGGGGCAACATACGACGCACTCCACTCTCGTGTGGTGCGCAGGCCAGAACACGACAGCAAGTGACACCAGCCAGTACAAGAATTGCACTTGACTGATGTGACATTCCGGCGTATAATGGTCTGACACACGGAACAGACTGTGCGAGGAACCAGGAGTTGCTGTGTGGTTCTCGCACGGGGATTGGAGCTGGATGAAGGTTGGGGGGGGGGGGGGTTGGTCAGATTGGGAGTTATGCTGTCTATGTGAGCTCCTTAGGACCGTGGAGGTCCTATCTTGGCCACTCGACTGGAGTGGCAGCGCAGTGCGCGAATATGGTGCAGGTTGCACGGCCGTTGAGGCAGTTTTCGCATTATTGCGTTGACAGCATGGGGCCACGTAACTCGTGGTCCACTCCCTGTGTGTCTTAAGGCCCGAGCAGGTCTTAAGATGGCTCCATCCATTGCATGTATTGCACCTAACCGAGGTGGAATTTGGATGGAGCCTTTTTGCGCATACGCAGCAGTAGAATACCTCGGGGCCCGGGTTGGACTCGATGCCAGCAGGAGGATACGGAGCAACCCTGCTGCTAGGCGTTGCTCCAGTGACGACAAACTTAATCTAAAACTTACCGATCCAAACAGGGTTAGATCGTCGAAATAACAGCCCTTGGCCGGATAAAATCCGGGTCAATTCCGGTATCGCAGAACCGGCTGTTGTGGGAATTGAAATCATGAAAACATGCCATCGATTTCATTGGTGACGGAAATTCCCTCTGGTAGTGGAGGGAGTCGCGAAATGTAGAAGTAAAACAGTGGCGGGGAGAAGACATTATCCTGCGGAACCCCCTTTAAAATTTTAATCTCAAAAGTTTCGAGTCGAAACAGTACGGATGATAGCCGACCACCCAGAGAGTTCTTGACATTTGACAATCTTTTGTAGTGAGCGAGCGCCTAACCTTCACATTTTCAAATTTCGTAGGGAAAAATATTGAATTAAATTAAATTAAATATTAAAAATATTCGATTGGATTGAAGCTAAGGAAGAGTGTGCATGTAGCTATATTTAATTTACCCTAAGGTTTATTTATATGTACATATTTTTCTAAACGTGAAGTGAAATAAAACTGAATGTTTTGATGATAAGAAAATTTGGTAGTTTTGCAACAGATTTGGTAGGAATTTTGGTACTCAAAGATTTTCTTAAGTGGCAACACTGTCTTTGGCATTAAGTCATTTCGATGACAATTAACTTATTGCTTTTCCACAAGCAGGTTAGCTATTTTTAATTTGCAATCTTTAATTGGTTTCCGCCATACCATACCATATCCGACGCAAAAATAATCGAGAAGAAATTGATTTATAGGTATTCAGT